GACTGCAGTAAGCAACACACGTTTCCTATATATTTCAGATATGTAAAAGCATGTGATGCCTTGATTGCATGACTATGGCCCAGAACCCCCTGCTTTCCAGGGACCCAGTGCTTCCTGTTGAAGCCCTTTCCCTGGGAATGGGGCTGTGTTTGATTTTCTGTTCTGGTTTGGTGGGGTTTTGTTTTTTTTTTTATCATGCCGACAGCTTTGTTGTACACTTCCCCTCTCCCCCCACCTTGAATGTTTTGTTTAATTAGACATCTTTCCCAAAGAGAGGCCCGCCACCCCTGGTTATCTGGGAAGTTCTGTTTTAGCACCAAGGGTGATGGATCCTCCTCCTACCAGCCTGACATCCCTAGTAATGAGGAACGGTAAGTCTGCCAATATGTAAATTAATGGGCAAGGCTGTACCTCTGTAAGTTTATTTACATAACAAGAGGCTGGCTGGCAAGGGGTCTGCCCTGACCGAGGAGGAAAGTGCTCCCTGGAAGGCCTGGGGACGGCATTGTCAAGCCTGTGTGCAACCAGCCCCATTTGGCATCTCCGCAACCAAACTCCTCAGATTTAGTGGCTCCGCAAAGCTCCCTCAGGCAGTGCCCTCCCCTCACATTCTCACAAAAGCAGACTCTTCTTTCAGCTCCACTCTCCTCACCCCTCCAGCGAGTGCTCTAGCTCAGGGGTCCCCTTGCTCTCCTCTCCCACAAGCACATACCTGTTCAGCGGTTATGTGGTCCATCCTCCTCCAGAAGCCTCAACAGCTCCAGAAGACTGGCAAGGACACTTGGCAAAACAGCCTCCTGCTCAGCTCCCAGTCTCCCAGTAGGTACTACGGTGCCCTTAGCTGGTGGACGAATTCTCCAGGCTCACCTACGGTACAGTATATACAGGGCAATCCTGGCCTCTCCGTTTTCGCTTCATGCTCACAGGTAAAGGCAGGCGCCCGCCCTCAGTGCTGAAGCCCTGTGGGCCGTTTGCAGGCTCGAGACCCGGATCCACACCACCGCAACACAGGAAGCCCCGCTGGAAGCTGGGAGATGCAGCCAGGCCAAACTATTGCCAGAGATCCTGCTGGCCCTCCGTGGTTCCCCGCTCAGCTAGGCTGTCCTTCAGTAAAGGTTTCAACAGATGAGGCCAGTCAGGCAATAATCAACTGTTCAGTGGTCCCATTAGCATACACATCCTGAACTTGAATCTGGGTTCTCACGGGGAATGGAGTCCAAGTAGAGCCACACACCTGTGTGAGCTCCTGCAGTCTTCAGTCCCACGTTTGCACACTCTTCTGAACCCACCCCATCCTCGCCATCCACCAGAGTCTGCGGGCATCATCCCCCCCTTGCAGGGACAGGCTGAGGAAAACAGACACCTCCAGAGGTTGCCTGATTTTGTTCCCCAACGTGCAAGCTGGAGGAAATGTGCAAAGGGGATCAGAACCACTGGAATGCCTGCCAATGTTCCCAGCCTTTTTGCAGGAAAATATTTTCAGGGCAAAACTCCTTTTTTAACAGATGTTTTATTGCTGTAATTAGACACCCCGTATATAACACAAACAACCCCCCAGAGAATTATTCAAGTGGTAATACTGAGAAAGAGTGAACATACACAAAAGGATACAAAAACAGACATTTAGAGAACTAGAAAGTTTCCAAGTTAAGAAAATCTTCCAACGTGAAGTGCCTTTTAGAAACTACACCACACATGCCAGTGTAAATTTGGTTTTTATTAACAATCAGCTTTCTATAAACATTGCATCTAAATAGGTAAATAGCTGCACAACTTAATTACTTCCAAAACAAAGATAAGTGCTTTTATTTCCCTATGTTTCGGTCTTTCCTTGGGCTGGAGAGGGAAGCTGCATGTTTTAAATCAGATCCAGAAGGGAAGGTATTCAAAGAGTGTCTTTGCATCAGGTCAAATGCACAGCATCGTGGACCCTGGCCCTGCTGTTCGCAGGCCTCGGCTGGCCTTGCAGCCGACCCACCAGGCAGCAGGAGCAGCCCTAACTGTGCGGGCACTGCCTGGGGCCTGCACATCTGGGGCCACGGAGGGGACGCGGGCAAGGCTGAAAACTAGACCCATAAGACTGAAAACAGTGGAAGGAGGCAAAAAAGGCGGAGACAATAGAGGCCTGGAGCAGGATGAGAGCTTTTTAGTTTCCAGGAATTCTTAAAATCAACTCGGGCACAAAAAAAACAAGTTACTGCTGGCGGCCAAAGGCAGAAGCCCTGGAGCCATACTGTAACTTTTAGGGAAGCAGAGGCCAAATCAGAGAGGGCTAGCTGGCAACACCAGAGGCCACTTCCCTCTCCCCCTTGCCTGGCCTCCAAGTACCAGCCCTCCTGGCCCTGAGATTCACAGGCTCATCCCTCATTTGTGGTTCAGCCAAGTGCCATCTTCCCACAAAGCCAGGTACAGAATGGGGGGAACCTGGGGAATAAATAACCCCCAAAGAACTAACAAGTGGGCAAGCTGATGTGGATTAAAGGTACACCTGGCGGATCCGCTTCTCCCACTAGATGGCAGCACAGCACCACCTTTCCAGGGCTTCTGGCTTCCAAGTTCAGATTGTGGGAATTACAGCTGAGACTAAGAAGAGGGTCAGAGGAGCTCAACTAGAACCTGCAAGAAAAAAGAAAGGCAAGGGGGCATCTGTGTGCCATCCCAGGACAGGAAAGAAGAATGTGGAATGGGCAGTCCCCAGGCAAAAGGCTTTTAGGAGCTTAGTGGAGGTGAGGAGATGGTGTTGGGCCTTCCTAAAAAGAAGTAAGGGTTTCACATGAGAACCCGGTCAGGCATGGGAACACCACAGCAGTCACGGTTATAAAGGTACCTTGCCCTATGGGGTGCCAGCCATGGTGGGTGGGCGGCCCAGCAGCTATTCCTAAAGCACACTCTCCTATCTGCATGAAGTCTCAGTGAATTTCAGCTTCAGCATAAGGGGCTCCACCAGGAGAGAGGGGAAAGACTCTCACTAGGAAATCGATCCCCATCTTTGATTGGGACTACTCCTCTGCTGTAAGAAGACGGCAGGGACAAGAGGCCTTGCCTGGGCAGTTTCTAAGGGGCAGCAGTGGCAAGGCTGACCAGGGCTCGGCTCCCGTGAGACAGTGTAGCGCTGCCTGGAGTCCCCAGGCTGAGGAGGGGTGTGGGTAATTGCACTTTGGGGCACAGTGAACACAGGCACGGACTGGATGCGGCCTGAGAGACAGAGAGAGACAGAGAGAGCAGGCTGACCTATTTTCAGGGGTTGGCTGCGGCTGGAGAGTGCCTGCCCGGCCAGAGGAAGGCCACGGCACAGCAGCTCCTCAGACCAGGATCCGTGACCCTGATGAGTCAGACTGTGGGTGGGAGGAGGCGGCAGGGCAAAGCCCGCTACCACACGCCCTTCCCAGAGCTTAGACACACTTTGGCCTCCTCCTGGCTTTCAAAACTAACCACAGCACTTCCACTCTGGAAGGCAAAGGAATCCTCTTGTTTGTTTCATACTCTTAACAGGACAGGTGGGGCACCTAAGGCTCAGAGGACTGAGGGCAGGACCCTCCCTCCCACCCCCTCTCCTCCCCCACCCCCCAGGCAGCCTTCCCCTTATAAGAGGCTCTGCAGAGGCCAGTATCTGGGCATACTCATGTCACATGCAGACCTTCTTGGCCTAATTTTTCTGGAGATGACTCTTATCTGGTGCAGAGAAACTGGTTTTTAAAAACAGAATTTTAAGCAGACTTTTTAAAGGGACAAAGGCCATTTGATGGTAGTGATTTTGGTTTTGTCTTATGAAATTGGTACAGGAGATAATCCCTGATGACAGAATGAACGGATTACAGGGCCAGGGGCCCCTAAAGGATCCTCTCTGTCCAGTCCAGTTAAGGCGATAAATGGGTGGATGTGTGGCTGGGGGCGGTAACACAGTGGGGCCATGGCAGTTTGCTACTTACTCCTGGCCTTTGCCCCAGGGCCAGCCTGTCTGTCACTCTGCCCTGGGCAGTGATCCACAGAGTCTCCCGGGAGAAGCTGTCCAGGGTGGCCGGCGCCCAGGAGCGCCTGCAGTGTGCACACCCCAGTCCAGGGCAGTGCGCGCTCGCTTTCAGTGTGAAGCCAGCACAAACTGGAGAGGTCTGTCCATAAAGGAATCATTTTTAAACATTCAGTTTTGTTCTAATTACTCCCTTCCTTCTGTTTAGATCTCACAAAACCTTCTTTTTCAGTGTTGACAAAAAAGAAATGTTTGGGGCAGGCCTGTGACATAAAGACTTGGCATAGAATAAGCCTGAAACCACAGGAATTATGCTCAAATTGCCATCTGGCGTCCATTAATTCCCATGAAACATTATGAAAAAGCCTCAGGCCTGTTTATCCTGCTTTGTAGCCACAAATTCCTTTTATGGACACAGAGCAGATGTCAGGTTTCTTAGAATATATAAGGCAAAAAGGGTTTTAGATCTATTATAACGTAAAAGAGCTAGATAACCAGGGTCATGAAGGGAAGGCTTCTAAATGAGACGTTCTTTTAAACGTCGATCCCACTGGACACACATACTACAAAATAAAGATTCTCTTTTTGTAAAGTGCTGTTTGCTTAGTGAATGACTCGCCGCCACGCACAGAGCACCACTGCCCCGTCTGCTGCTCGGGAGAAACATCAATGGCAGCATCAGCAGAGGAGCTCATCTCCCCAGACTCTCCTTGGTGAGGAGGGAAGTCCTCCAGCATGACCAGACATTCCCGCACACTCTGTTCCAGGGCAGGGACTGCCGCTGACCGGGAGAGGCAGGGTGCGGAGGCCCCGGTGCCACCCGGCTCCTGTTCTTCCCTCAGGTGTGGCATTTTATTCTCTCACTGCTCGAGGCTTCGTGGGCCAGAACCCAGCCAGCTCCCCATCACAGTGTCACAGGGACTTCCCTTCCCATGGAAGTGCTGGCAGAGGTGGGACCTCGCCATGCACAGCCAATGTGAGGGCTTTCCGGGAGATTCACTACGGAGGGTTTAGAAAAAGAGAAGCCATTAAAAACAGTCACCTGCCTGGTCTATGCTATTAAAGGACATAAGAAAAGGTACACAATTGGCAGTAAACAATTTCCTTCAGCTGTTCGTTGATGTTCAGGAAAACTACACCCTCCACAAAATCAGACGTGAACGATTTCGGTTCCAGTGTCTTCAGGTTCTGTCCAACAAGAAGAGTTTGTGTCGGAATGACAGGTTCCAGGTCCATCTTTATTTTCGAAGTTGGGCTCTGTTAGTGCAGATTTCTCAAAAATATTTTTGTTTGTCTCTGGACAGTTTTGAACATAGATTACTCTGTTATAAGCCTTGAGTCTCTTCCATAATTGTACGTACACTTTGCACTGAACATACATAAAAAGAAGTCCACCAGTAAACCCGATGGCCACAACCACCAATTTAGTCCAAAAAGGCCACTCTAGGATTCCTGGAAGGGAAAAACCCAGTTAGTCTATCAGCAGATCTAATTTAATATCTGAAGTAAATAAAACACAACTTCTGACCTTCCCAAAACCAATGGATTCTTCACTCATCAAATCTTGCTTCATCAAAGCTGGGGTGGCAGAGGGTGTCCACTCTCTCTCATCCTGGTGCTCTTCCAGGAAACAGTCTGCAGAGATTCTCTCTCCCCCTGATTTGATCTAGTCTGACTGGGTTTTTTAAAACTACTCACCACAGCAAGGGAAACATCCAAAAAGGACGCTCGGTACTTCATAATTGATGCCCCCCACTCCAGAAACCCAGACATTTGAAGTCTGACTTAAAAACCAATCTGGAGTAACACTCCAATCCCATGACCCTAGTGTGTTACCCAGGGTCTCCGCACTGAGCTCACCTGTCACTCTGAGCACATACCTGTTGCCTGTCCATGTTTGATCTCCTCAGTGGTACGGTCGATGAGCACGTACAAGGACCAGACCACACAGGTGATGGCGATGACATGAAACGTCACTGAGCACATGATCTTCCTGCGCTCGCTGGCCGTCATCTGCAGCTTCTCCCACTGGAAAGACAACACACAGAGCATGAGGTGTGGGCCCCCAAATGTAAAGGGCCACAATGAAGGTGACAGCATTGTAGATGGGTAAGACTGGCTGTTCCCCCCCTCCCCTTCCCCCAAACTAGATGAACTTCTTCAAATACTAAGTCATTCTCTTGAAACCACTTGGCTTCAACCAGGTACCAGGCACTGGTATTCTGTCGACAGCCAACTTTTTATGCAATGAAAAGAAGCTGGGATCAAGATGAGCTATGAACCACAACCAGCAGTCAATCCTTTTGTCTGCTTATTCTTGCAGGCAGACACCTAATGGCTAGCTAAAGGACTCTAGGTTTCGGTCCTGATGAAAACAGCGTGTTGGCCCCAGACCCGGGTGGTACACATGAGACCTCCCTGCCTTGCTGACTGGCATGGGCGAGGGGAAGAGGGTTGATGACGGCCACAACACACTAGCAGATGGTCACACTACATCGTGACGGTGATGGCGGAAGGCGCTCACTCTTTGGTCCTTTGCTACTTTGGCAGCAACAGCTTGAAATCGATGCTAAGAGTTCCTGGTATAAGCAGGCTCTGCCAGTCCCATCTCCTCTAGGAGCTCATTAATTTGCTCCAAATAGCCAGATTTTCTTTTTCATTTACTGCTTTCCGAATCAGAAGAAAACATATAAGGGTAGAGAAAAAGAACAAAGCATAAACACTCTGCATATCCTTGGCCAGCCCTAGTCATAGCCTCTTTCCAGATGGTTCTATAGAGGATAAGCTGCAAGTAGAGCCTCCTAGATTATCTATATTGGCCAAAGTGTTACAAGTCTCACTTGAGAGGCCAGCACAGAGGAGGTATCCAATAAACTATATTATTTTTATGGGGCAAAACATTTTTTAAGTAGTTTGCATCTGTTTTCTCTAACATCCAGATGGCTTTCTGCTGTGGTTTTATACAGTATCTTCATTTGCTTCCCTCCTAAAATGCTTCCCTTCTCCCCGATTTCCTGCTATTTCCCCAGACACACTCAGTTCAAGCCTTTCCCATGGCCCTGAAATGCTCACCCTCACCTTTTCAGTGTATGCTTTCTGTCACAAGACAACGTGACCTCTCTAAACTCCTTTTGCTGTACTCCAAATCCTACTGCTCCTTCAAGAACAGTTTCAACCCCCAAACATTCTGGGAAGCTACCAGCACTCCCCTCCCGCAGCGGTCTAGCTCACAACCAATGCTTCCTCCCTTGAACTGTCGGACGTGCTCTGCCGCGACTTAATCTGCAGTCAGTTGGCGCTGTCGGGTGTTTTAGTTGATTATGTGATTCTCCTTGAATTTACATATTAAAACTTAAAAACAAGTCTTTCATCCTTCCAAATGATACCTTGTATGCTGGGCATATAGAGAAACACACTGAAAACCATTTATACAGGCGGCACCTGCTAGACTAGCTCGCTCAGAGGGGCAGTGACCTGGGGCCTGAAGAGAGGTGCGTCACACGTAAGGCCTATGGTTCCTTTCTTTTCCCACCCGCCCTCACCTTACCAACTAGCAAATATTTATCACAGTATCTACAAATAAATTTACTATGTCACTCTGTGCTCTGTCAGGGAGGGATACTAATCAATGTCTGATGTACAGTCCTACTCAGAGGCAAGACATGAACAGTTAACATGTACCAAGTTAACTGCTAAGATGTCACAAAACAGTCTGTGGTCAAGGGCCAAATGACTGACACTGACAAGCAAGCAGACTTAGTCTGACAGAGAAACACATTAGGACTGAATGGTCAGAAAGAGCTTCTTGAGAGGAGGGGGAGCAGGAAATCAGAAACGGAAACGATGACCTCTGTAGCATGAATGTATGCACAGCCCCCACTTCTTACAGAAATGAACACAAGCGAGCTATGGCTTCATCTAGTCCAAGGTGCTAATTCTTGCAGGGCCCTCACTTCAGCAAGGCAAGAGCACTTCTGAACGTGTCCTCACACATACTTTTCTCAAAGGCTTCAGCTTGACCTCCATGATGAACTCGTACTTGCAGAGCTCACAGCAGCGTGTGTCGGAGCTCTTGATCCACTGCTGCAGGCAGGTCTGGTGCACGAAGTGGAGGCTCCCTGTGCAGTGGCAGGGGGTGATCAGAGGGCTCTCGTCATCCCCTTCACAGTGGCAGATCCTGCGGCAAAAGGAAGGCCAGTCAATACCAGGAGGACCATGACAGGGGAAGAGGACGCTTCAGGGGAAGGTCAATCCTCCCCCCCAACCCAAAGAAAACATTCAGCGACAAACATCACAGAAACGACTACAAGCACAAAAACACACAAACACGGATGAGAACGATTACTACAAGCTAAGAACTTCTAGCTTACCGCACCAACATGGAAAGTCTGGATGGCATTTGGCATCAGAGAGGAAAAAATGATGTAAGAAATGACAAAGCAGTCATTTTGGTAAGACAAGAATTTCACTGAAAGACGAATTTAAGGCAACATGGAAGCATCTTTCAGAACATGCTAAAATGATTAGGGGAAATCTTCTGTGTAAAACCAAACCAGGACTCCACCTTCCAAAATTACCGGTGACTTAAAAAGATGATAAATGTGCTTTTTAGCTATAATCATGAATTTCACCTTCACACACAACTACATGCCTCCGTCCTCTATCAGAGAGAAAACACAGAACCTCTCTTGGGCCCAAGAAACGCATTAAAGGGGCTTCAATTTTATTTCTTTCTTGAGGAAATGAGAATTTTAAATTATTCATGACCTCTAAGGGTATGTGCAAGAGGATGTAGCTACTAACCTCAAGGAACTTAGACTTTTTCAGCAGCTGGAGAGCAGGTAGGGACACCTGGCCTGGAGGGAGCCAGGTCCTGGCCCTGGCCCGGCTGCCAGCTCTTTGTTTCTGTGAGCGGGGTTTTGGAGCCAACTGTTAGAAATGTATCAGCTGGCATGGCGGAGGGGCGCCTAGGGAAAGCCTGGAATGGGGAAAGCATGAGCCTGGTGACAAAAAGCAAATTCTGAAAGATTCTGGAGGCTAGACAAGGATGCTGCACATGGGAAGACAAAGGGCGGAAGTGGAGAAAGGACCTGGGCAGAGGTGGCTGCAGCCAGGTTAAAAAGAAGGAAGGAAGATGCTGCTGGGGAACGGCCTCTTCCCATGCACACTGTGTTGCAAGTGGAATAAAAGGTAAACACGAGGCTGGGAGGGGCAGCCAATGCTTAAAGTCTAGATCATCAAGCTGGAAAACTGTAGATACTATTTTTCTTTCTTCCAATTTCCTTATGCAAAGTCTACTTAGTTTTGGTTGAGAAGAGTCAGCTTGGCCTTTAATATGTGTAGCTTCTTCCTCTTTTATCATCTGTGAAACTATCCTGGGACCCATGGCATAGAAATTGGTATCAATTTTGGTATTGATATCTACTCCATTCTTCTGGAGAAAACTATTAACCCACAATTGTCTAAAACCACCCATTACTTCATTTTCCTGAAACTTCACATATTAAAGCAAGAGGAGGCCACAGAAGTATGAGGAGCAGAGATTGCCAGAATGATGGTTCTTGGCAAACCAACCTGCAGGCATCCCCTGATGTGGACACAGGAGATATGGGGGGGCATTTTTCAGAGGGGGGAGAAGGACAATCCAGGTCACTGTCCTTCTCCACTGAACAGAGGGGTGCCCGCAGGACCTTGTTCTTCCATTTTGCAGATGTGCTGTCCTCAAAGACATCGTCGTCTCCCATTTCATCGGAGCAGAAGCCCACGCTCCCTGCCAGCCCGCTGGAGGACTTGGCGGTGTGCAGAGGGGCGGCACAGCACTCCAGCTCATGGAACCCGTGCAGGCTGCTGGCGCTTGAGCCGTGCGAGAGCGAGAACAGGTACCGGAGCAGTCGCCGGCTCCTAGACACAGCTTCAGCATCCGCTCTCTCTTCCAAAAGAGGAACGTGCACGCCCCCCTTGCCAGCTTCCACCTCTGAGGCAGCCGAATGATTGGCAGAAAGGGATGAAACACAAGAATGTTTGGAATTGCCCAGAGGTTTGCGATGCAGCGATCTTTTCTCCTTCTGATGGAACCTGTTAATTCTGAGACCCGAATCTTGAGGGAGTATCAATTTCCCTTCGGAGCAAGTTCTTTCCACATAGTCAAAACTTTCCAAAGCATCCTGGGCCTTCTCACCCACATCATTTAGGGATTTTGAGAACTTTAGTGTTCTTCTGGCTTTGGTATTGTCAGCAGGCTTCAAGGCCTGGGTCCATTCTGAACCACAGGAATTTCTCTTTGACAATGTGTCTTTACAGATAACTGTCACAGTGAGCCCTTGTGTCAGAGAACTCTGGCATTGAGGAGCTTTCAAGACAACGGCAGAATGCACGGGACTTTGGTGACAACACTCAGAACACACTGCACTGGAACTGCATGCAGAGAACAGTGGAATAAAAGCACAGAAAGTAAAAACAATCTTAAAAGAGAATAGACATCAAAGTGAAGAAATGAGACTCATGTAGTAACTTAGTGAGCAAATAGCACATAAAATTGGGCCAGCTGTTTAGAGCAGAGGCATACTGACCAAGCAAATGGAAAATTGAGAAACCTACAGGCACTAGTGCTTATTTCTGGGATGTCACGTGAACCACGGCAACATCTGAAGCCCAGCATTACCTGCAGATGTCCTGATTGGATGGTGTGACAGAAGTGCGAGAGAAGGCGGACACGGGTGCCGACGCCAACGAAGAACCCCCAGCCTGCAATGACACACCTCCAGTCAGTTTCAGAGGAAAGAGCAAAGGGGACGGTGAACATGATCCCCTTCTGAATAGCAATGGGCAGACAATCTAAGAACATATGCCCTTCTCTACTGTTTGGTGAAAAACGTCCATTAGGTCCCTATGAGCTGAGACCAAACAAATCAAACAGCACTCTTTTCTTATATGTGGGTCTAAGTATAGCCAAGAAATATTTGAGACTCCAGAGCAGTAATACCAGTCTCCTGCAGATTCAGTGGTCCTTTATTTCCTGAGCATCTAAATTTACTTAGTTCATACATAAGTGAAGAAACCAAGTACTAGACAGAGGGGTGCCTGGTTGGTTCAGTAGGTAGAGCATGTGACTCTTAATCTCAGGGTTTTTGAGTTCAAGCCCTAGGCTGGGCATGGGGGGGGGGGGGGGGGAAGGGAGGAAGGAAGGAAGAAACCAAGCACTAGATGGTATATGTAAATGCAAAAGCAATGTGAGGCACCATCCCTGGCAATGCCCGTCTTCCCCACCTGGCACTCTTTAACCTGGCTCCGGGGATAAGGCTGTGAGTGCTCTCTACTACTCACCTCACACTGGGTCCATGAAACCTTGCTGTCCTATCAAGAGCTCTTTACACAAAAAAGACACTAGCTAACCACAGAGCCACCAATCCATAACTCAATCCAGGGCTCAGGAGGCGGCTGAGCACAGAAGGCTCCCAAGGGCTCTAATCATGGGGTTGGGAATTGAGAACAATAATCAAGAAAATTTAAATTTGAAATAATGTATAGGAAAGAGTCATGGCATAGAGCAGGAGTCCTGAGGTGTTGTGAATAAGCCGAAGTGAGAGAAGAGCTCTAGGAGGGTGAGGAAGCACCACAATAAGAAGAAAAGTGGAAGGAGAGGAACAAGGGTAAAGGGTGTACCTGAGCGGAGGAAGCAGAGCCACTGCTAATGGTCCCCCAGCCTCCTACAACCTCTGTGGCATCCTTGCCTCCTCTAGACTTAGATTCCTGCGTTCCTACAGCCCGCAGAGCACCATATACATTCATATAAATGTGTTCCTCCCTCCTAAGACAGTCAGCCTCAGTGAGCATGTGCCCCCACATAACCTCAACAGCCACATGAAAACAGTACTATGAGTCTGTTTTCTGCTTACCAAGAGCAAGCCCACGTCACCTCCCTACCTTCCTCAGGCCCCCTCAATTAGCCTTCAGTCCTGCTCCTTAATTTGAGGAGCCCCACTTTGACCCACAATTCCCTGGCTGAGACCTAGCCTCCACTCTTGCTAAGTGCAATCTCTGTGGGCATGCTTTTATCCTGGCACTCAAGTTATAGAGCTCCTGACACGGTCCAGCCACCAAGACAAGCGGCACCACTGTCCAAAAGCTCTCCCATCTGCCCTCTCCAGCAAATGCACCCACCCGGAGAGAGCCAGGACTGGCGCTCTGAGGGCTCCAATGGGCCACTATTCCTGCTCCCCAGCATGAGAATTAAACGTCACTTCAAATCCAGCTCAGACTGAAACCTGGTCCAAGAAGTTACGTGATGCCATACTGCATGTGTATGCTAAAATCATGCAGTGTTACTCAGCTAGCACATCTTCTGAGTCACCAAAGAATCCACATGTTCTAACTACATGTGGAAAGCATTCAGCGTCCTGGGAGGAGATGGGTCTCAGACAGGAAGCTGAAATGAAGAGAAAATGGCCTCTCATTCCTGTTCTGAATTCCAAGTGACCCATGTCCAAAGGGGAAGTCTGGGGAGGTGATCACGTCATTACACTCCCGCAATGGGTGAGTGCTTGGAGGCAGGAGCAAAGAGCCTCGGGGCAGAAGAAGGCCTGCCCCACGTAGGCAGCCAGACAGTCCACACACACAACAGGACCTGGGATCATTCCCCACGAGTTTCGTGTCTCAGGTGGACCCCTGGGAACTCACACAGTCACGTCTGGACTTACAGCAGAGTGTCACGCCTGTGAGACGGTGGCAGTGGACCCAAGACCCTAGTCTGCTTCTCTGGGAAACAGGAGCAGGTTCGGCATCCTCTGTCTGGGCCCCTGTCCTCAGTTCATCCTCCGCAATCGCACAAGAAACATCCCAAGACGCTTCTCAGCAGGTAATGTCCAAACCTCAACAAGCCTCCCAATTACAGAGGAAAATTTTCTCTTCTTATTAGATCATGATGTTTCAAGGAAATTTTAAAAACCTACTTACTGCTGTTTTATATAAATACAAACCAACAAATACCTTATGCTGGCTGACTCCTTCTCCAGCAAGAGTGAGAAAAGTAGCAAGATTTGTGGGCCATCGGAGCTCCCCTAAGGGACTCCTGCTGTTACCAGCTAAAAAGGAGCATCTGTTGAAGCTCAGGACAGCCTATATGTAAAATGGTCACCAAAACAGAGCGTCAACAACTTGACAGAGCTTAACTTGTTGCTGGTATCAAGCTGAGTTAATATATGTCAACCTACCAATGAGGATTTAAAAGACTGAACTGATCATCAACAGCAAGGAAAAAAGAAGGCTACAAATACAGTTCAAATACAGCGCCAGCATCCAACTGAGGGAGTCAAGGTAAGTCAAGAGGCTGGCAGTCCCCTCAGAGGCCCGGACCACTGGACAGCTCTTTCACTCTTCCTGAGGCAGCGGGCAGGTGGCATGGGGGAGCCTATGGGGCAACAGTACTCACCTTAAGGGAAAAGGAGAACACCCTTTCTCCTCCACAAGATCAGACCATACAGGACTGCTGTTGATAAAAGTACGTGTAAATGTTCATAATAAGAAAATTATGTGTCAACAAAATTAAAGCCCCGTGCTCCTGAAGTTCTCAGTCGGTCCTCAAACAAGAGACTTTGTGGTCATGGAAAGGAATGTAAAGCAGCTTCCCGGCAGTGATGACCTGCCCACGAGAACATGCCCCTCGTGAAGGACCTCCTGCATCCACCCTTGGAAGAGAAGAGGAAGCACAAGAAGTGCCTGGTGCAGAGCCCCAGCTCCTACTTCCTGGTGAAGTGCCCAGGGTGCTTCACCCACGTGCAAAGTGGTGGTGTATGTGGGCTGCTCCACTGTCCTTTGTCACTGTCCTTTGTCACCCCATAGGAGGAACAGCAAGGCTCACAGAAGGACGCTCCTTCAGACGGAAGCGGCACTAAAAGCACCCTGAATCAATATGAATGGGAAACTAGCCCAGTAAACAGATTTTGGAGAAAGAAAAGAAAGAAAGAAAGAATGTAAAGCAACCTCACTACAAAAAAATTTTCATAAAAATCCCCTATTCTTAAGATGTCATAATCAATTACACAAAATAAACCTCTGGATTACATAGAGATCCCATTCCCAGTTGATTTTATTTCTTAGGAATGACAACTTTAGACACTTTGTTTTGCACTACCAAGTCACTCAGTGGTTGCCTTTCCCTACCAAAACGGAATGTTTTATTTTTTTAATTCATTTTTTAAATTTAAAAAAACTTTACATTTATTTATTTTTGAGGGACAGAGAGAGACAGCACAAGTCAGGGAGGGGCAGAGAGAGAATGAGACACAGAATCCGAAGCAGGCTCCAGGCCCTGATCTGTCAGCACAGAGCCTGAGGTGGGGGTTGAACTCACAAACTGTGAGATCATGACCTGAGCCGAAGTCGGACACTTAACCAAATGAGCCACCGAGGGGCCCCAAAACTCACTGTTTTAAATGATTTTATCAAGGCTGCCAAAAACAACCAAAAGAAAGCTTCTCATATAGCCTTGGTAGAAGCTGGCATTTCATTTTCCCTGTTTCTTTTTGCTAGAACTTACTGCCATTCAAAGGGCTATCATAATAGACTCACTGAGTACATTTCTCAGTCCATGGAAGAAACTTACCAATTTTACATCAGAGGGACTTTCTCTCTGCAGACACCAGCTGTACCTTCCTGGCTCCCCTGCTTCACTTCCTTCCCATGCTCCTTCCACTAGGTTACTTCCCAAGCCCCCTCTCTGCCACCTCCTCTTCCTTCTCAGCTGCAAACCCCCATTGGGCCTTCTTTTATCAGCAAAGTTTCTTTTAAACATCTGGGGTCTCAGACTCCTAACAAAACTAAATTCACCCTCTGATTTACATCAACAGGTACAGGGCCACAAGAAATGGTCTGGCTGGGTTTATGTGCTTTTTTTTTTAAGTTTTTAAATTTATTTTTGAGGCAGAGAGTAGAAGAATGGCAGAGAGAGAGGGAAAGTAAGAGGGAGAGAGAGAGAGAATCCCAAGGTAGGGGATGTGGGGAGAGAATCTGCTGTTAGCACAGAATCCAATTTGGGACTCAATCCCACAAACTGTGGGACCACGACCTGAGCCGAGATCAAGAGTCAGACGCTTAACTGACTGGGCCTCTAGGTTCATTTGCTTTTAAGCCAGGAGCAATTTGAAGAAAGACTGGATAAGGAGGGTAAGAGACAAGTAGAGGCCCTATTTATAACTGACCTCAAACGTAACAGAAAAAATGGGGCAAGTACAGATGGCTCTTAAAACATAAAAGATGCTTACCCTCTCTTACAGTGAGAAATACAAATTAAAACTACAACATGATATACTATCAACAACAAAAGTCTGTTTGTTTTTTTAAATCACATAAGACCCGTGTTGGCAAAAGTGTGGGAAGATGGTCATGCTTATACACCGCCGGTGGGAAAGCAAACCACTAAACTTCACAAGATGGCAGTCTGGCAATTAGTTTCTAAATTACAAATGCACGTTCACCTGGTCCCAGCAATTGTCCGCTCAGGAATCCATCCTCACACATATACACAGAGAAGTTTGTTCAGCATTGTTTGTGGGAGCAATTGCCTGGCATAACCTCAGTGCTTGTGGGCTTGGAGCTGAGTCCGTGCTGGGACAGCAACAGAAAGGTGGTCATTAAAGGAAGGGAAAGCCTGTTAGCTTATCCTGGGTACAAGGAGGGAACGAGCAGAAGGGAGAGCCATGCCCTGTGTGTGGGCCTGTGCAGACCATTTACCAGGGGAAAGGTGCACA